CAACTGGGAGATGCAGTGAAAAATACACAGACTGATGACATTGAATTGGAGCAAAAATAGATGTCTCAGCTCTGAAAATGAAGCTTGTCTTGGTTGTTTCTGAAAGTAGAATCTGGGTGTGACATTCTGACAATTGACCAGTCATCTATGTAATGGTATGTGCACAGTGCTAGGAAATGGAGGTGATGAGAAAAAGCTTATACAATTTGGCAGAACCCATGTGAGCCAATGTCAGTCTGAAGATAAAAACCCTGAACTGTAGTACCTGACTCTTGTGCACAAAAAATGCTGATAGTGGTGGGATGCTACCACTATGGCAATGTGCAGATAGAAGCCAATTACAATGAACTTGAACATCCAAAATTCCAGTAAAAAAAAAAGCCAACTCAGATTAAGGAATGAGTAATCTGTGAACCTTGGAGAATTTAAACACTGATATAGATGAGAAAAATCGATGACTGGACAACAATCTCCAATCTTCTTAGGCCCAACAATTGATGGGAATACAAACCAAGAAGAATGACATGACTCTCTCACAAGCCTCAGGCCAACCAAACTCTTGATAGCCATAGACCTAAGTTTCAAAACCTGAAGATCTGGGGGAGACGGAAATCCTAGAGGTTGGTTAGGTAACGGTAGCAAAGATGTGAAGTGAATGATTAATCCTGACTCAAGGACCTGTAGTGCCCATGGATACGTGGTTAAGGTTACCAGACATTAAGAAATTCTCGGAGTTGAGCCGCCACAAACCCCAAAAGCATTCTCGATGAACCAACTGAAGGAAACAAATCAGAGGCAGCTTATCCCAAAGTAGACTCCTTTCTTTTTTTCTTTTAAAGAATGTCTTTATTACCACTGTTTGGAACAATTAGTCAGGTTAATTTGTTTTGTTAGAGCAAAGCAATGTTGGGGAATCTGCTGTGTCCACCATAGGAGACTGAACCCCAGATTCCAACATTTTAAGTCTGTAAACTTACCACTGTCCCATAGGGGAACTGAGAAACCAACAGACTAAAAGAAGGTGTAGGGAAAAAGCAAATTGTCAAATTCCAGATTGTCAAGGATCATCATCAATTGCAGCCTCAGAGCCCCCCAGAGGAACACCACCGAACCGATTATGTCGTCATCTCACTACAAATACGATCACCAACATTCTCAACTGAGAGTGCCCTCACCCCCCTGACTGTTGTGTGATGCTAGATATCAGAAGTGGGATAGGGGAGACCTGATTTGCCTCCGTGCAGAAATGTTTATTTTATTTTAACGAAAATCATATAAATCAACTAGGTAACACATAGAAAGTTCAAAGTATCTTCCAACAATTGTAGCACAGGGAAATCTGTCAGTGATGCTTTGTCGAGAAAAAGTGATAACATTATCCAAATGATGTGCTTATATAGAGTACCAGGATAGAGAGGGCATCGACATAAATGAAGTGTGTCAAAAGACAAATATCACCAAGGGCAATTAAATGGGCTATAAAAGACTGAAGTGAGCAAGAAAAAAAATCAGACCAATGTTTAGATGGGCAAAGAAAAAAGCCCTGGCAGTCGAGTAATAGCTGTAGTGTAAGAGAAGGTACGTATGTTTTGGAATGCTTTTTGTTTTTCATGGTGTATATTTTGGTAGTTACAATTATACAGGCACAGAAAGACTAATAATGCATATTAATGCCCAATAGCAAATATACAGCATGAGTTCACTAATGAAACTAAATGTGTTTCTAAATTAAGCTATTGATATTCTTTTATGCAATAGATTTGTAAAACATTTCACACTGCAAATATTAAAATGAAATGATAATCAAAGATGAAAAAATGTTTTATAAGTCTTCACTCTCATCTCACCAAATGGTAACTGTGAAGAAGTTTCTCGTACAGCTTTCACCATTGATTCAATTTCTTCTTGACCAGTACAAAATACAAGAATGTCACTATAAAACAAAATGCATTTTGATTATTCAAACATAACACTAAAAATAGTGATGTTTCTCTAAATTTTAGTTTTTGTCAAATGGTAATTATAAGACCATTAAAATCATCACAAATTCATCTAAACAGCTGCAAAGTTTACAAAATAAAGTTGGAGAAAAGGATTTAAGCTTGTTATTGGATAACTGATGCTTCAATGACCAAGATACATTACCTTTACATGTATACATGAACAAAAACTATAAATCATCAATATGGATGATTATAAAATGACAACAGCAGCTAAAAAATTAGAGTTGCTTTAGATATAGCTAGAAATCTCTCTAAAACTCACCTTTATATTTTCAACAATTATAAATCAAAAGTTTAAAACATTTATTTGATACAAGTTTTTAAATTTTGCTACAGCTTCAAAAAAAAGTTTAAAATTCATGATTCTTATAACATTTTAATCAAACTGGGTTTACTTTTAAGTTCCCTAAGTTGCAATAAAGATAGTAAAGCATTTTTTGGGCTATAGTTCTAATAATATTCATATATATATATATATATATATATACACACACACACACACAGACCACTTCTGCCAACTAATTCTTCAGTCTCCCTCATCACCATTGACAGGATCCTGAACAGCTCTTCCCTTTGCCAAATCACTGCCTTCTTTACAAAGTACAAGCCTAAAGTTTTGATTGACTCAACCAAGACCAGTCTTCTGCATAGGGGAGGAATCTTCAATACAACCCCTCACCCACAAAGACCTTGTCTACCTATCCTCACCATGGAATTGTACCCCACCAATCATATGTAAACCTCCCTACTCTATCATCAACCTTTTTACTGTTTTTCTTAGAAGCTTCAACCTCTCCATCAATCCTGAAGACATAAATTCTATGCTAGAGAAAACTACCAAGCACAATATTCACACTGTCCACTGAACCTAATCTAGAACTACGGGAGCACCAACACATTTTATGTAAATAGTCACACCTTCCAAATGAACTGCTGATCACATATTAATTAATGGCAGCTTCTATTTATTTTTTCACTTTAGAGCTGAATGACCAAACTGACACTCAGCTACCTCTACAAAACATCCTAGCAAGCCCAGCTCACTCCAATCAGTAAATCGCTGAACTCCAGCAACAAACTACCAACCTCTAGCAAAGCATTATCAGACCATGAAGACAAGTTCATGTAAACCACACTGAACAAGAAGAACATTTAAACACTGCAGATCACCAAACTTGATACATACACATCAACAGGAAACCTGCAGTCACTTACCCAGGAAACCTAAACTCAAATCACAAGAAGAGACAAAAGAATCCACACTAATAACCAATCCAAAGAATGAGAGCACCACATGACCTCGAAAGAAGAGTAACCACCCAACAAAGCACCTCTACTCACCATCTTCCTATTGACCCGGGACTACATTATTCCCAAAGAATTTTTTTCATGATAGAAATCCTTATTTTCCCTATGTTCCACATCCAGAGATGACAATGAATCCAAACTCAAGTACAACCAAGTCTTCCCCAGCCTATTTTTGATATTTCATCCCTCAAGTCTACTTAAAATTTAGGATGACTGCTGCTGTATTATCCACTTATGTTCACTAATCCCTGTTTTTTTCCTTTTCAGCTTTTCATGGGCACAGTCTGGGCATTCTTATTCAGCACTCTGGCCGTGAAAGTGGGTTTTCTTGGGGCATTCCCTTTCCCTCCACACAGCTAAATTATTCCAAGCATAAGTTATAGATCCCTGCCCTGAAAATGGCCATTTCCATCCAGATAGTCCAACTCTATTCCAGTTAACTTAACTAATTCAGTTACCTTTAAACAATTATTTATGCCTTCAGGTCATACCCAGGCCTTAAATTTTAATTATATAAAATTTCTTTTTAGCTTCAGTATTTCTCAATTAATTTTAAATGAATCAAAATTCTAAATCAAATTGCAGCTGGTTTCTTTCATCACAGCCTTAGTCACCTCTTAAAGACATCTTTCACTGACACCTTCAAGAAGAAACGTTCACAAGCTTTCCATGCAAATTTCTGCTTATTTGTAACAGCTAAAATCAAGTCTCTGCATGTAACTATCTCTCCAAGACCTTACCAAAATCCATAATCCTTCATTATTAGCATTACTCTTTTCCATATGTGGAACAAAGAGAAACAAAAGTTTCTGGCCCCTTCTAGTTATCTTTCAGGCCTCAAGTTCCTTCAGGCATGAAAGATTTTTAAGCCCTAATACCTACCACGATTGGATTCACACAAAGATTGTACCAAAAACAACTTAACCTAAAAATGTTAGTATATCCCCAAAAGGTGAATAATACATCCAGCATAATTATATAATTAAATGAAATTTTAAAAAGTTAATTCGACAAACAATCTTTAACCAAACAAGTATTGTGTTTGATATTTTAAAATGTTCTATGTTATAAAGAAAAAGTAGAATATACTGCACTACAAGTTATAATTTTCCTATACTGAAAATGTATAGATAGACATGTACTTGTATAGACATGTACAGATAGGTGGAAGATAGACAACCCAAAACATGTGTAAGGACTTATGTTTTTACTCTAGATCCAAAACTCGGTCGCAGAGTACCAACATCCACATGGGGGTAGGATAAGGGCTCACAATCGAAGGGGTGAACTGCATTTTGATATATCTCTCCTTCGTAATTGTGTATAATAAAGAGGAGGACAGTACATCATCTACACCCTACTCTGCACTGAATAGTTATAGCCATCTTTGTGTGGAACACATTCAGGAGGGTGCCTCCATGGTCAACCACCCCAGCAGCTTGGAACTAGAAAGTGGTAAGGTTTATTTTTTTTATAAATTTCATGCAAAGTTACACGAGAGCTATCTGCACTAGCGATCCCTAATTTAGCAGTGTAAGACTAGAGGGAAAGCAGCTAGTCATCACCACCCACCACCAACTCTTGGGCTACTCTTTTACCAATGAATAGTAGGATTGATCATCACATTATAACTCCCGCACAGTAGAAAGGGCGAGCATGTTTGGTACGACAGGGATTCGAACCCGCAGATTGTGGATCGAACGCTCTAATCACCTGGCCATGCTGGGCCAAGTGGTAAGGACTCCCATACTACACTAGAAGAAAGGAGGGTGTAAAGGTGGTGGAGAGATTGGAAGGACATCAACACCTGAGACAGTGCAATGGGTTACCAAGAAACCTTATTTTGAAAAGCAGACCATACCGACCTATTCACTACAGGCATGGCAAGGATGGACAGCTATCCCCTTCTGCTTTACCCATGCAGTCCATGGGTGGTACGATCCAGGACAGGCATGTTTATGAAGCAAAATATTGTGAGGTTATTCACCTACAAGCAGTTTTGTGAAATATAGGCATGACCAAATAGGGACCAGTGATGTCATTGAAGACCACATCCCCAAAGGCGATAGAACCTCGTGAGCAACAAGTGATGAAACTGAGAATAGAACGAAATCGGACAGGAGAAGGCTGGGCACAACTGATATGAGTGTCGAAAAAGCCCCCCAGATTTCGAGTAGGTTTGATGAAGGATTTCTCCAATTTGATTAACCTGCCCACTTGAGCAGCCATGAAAGGGAGCTGCCAAGTATGGCTGGATGATTCAGATTCAGAATAAGCCAGTCATCCACATAATAGAGAAACTCAACCCCAGTGCCTGAAGATTTTGAGCAAATGCTTGGACTACCCTACAGAAATCATAAGGGGTCATAGCAAACCTGATTGGTAGAGCACAAGTTTTATAAACCACACAGAGATGGACAAATCAAAGATAAGGATATGACCGAGATGATATAGGTATATGGATATAAACCTTGGCGAGATCCAGGAGAAAACGCCTACCTCCAGGTAAGAAAAGACTCCATGATAAGCTGGGGCAGGTGAATGAAACTGTTGAGGTGAGGTAAACCTATCACTGACCTCCAGTCCCCATTTTTCATGGGAACAACAAAAGTCGGGAATAAAAACCTGTTGAAGAATGTAGACCACCGAGATAGCAATTCCCAAACCGCTTCCAACAGACGCTGACTGGTCATGGGATTCCGAGAAGGAGGGAAGGAAACAGGGAAAGTATACATGGAAGGTGGAGAAAGGAAGGGGATCATGAATCCTTCTGACAAAACCTCAAGAACTCATTGATCTCGGATGAAGGAACCCCCAGCAATAAAAAAATCGGACCAGAACCCATTGGGTAGCCACCAGTACTGTTGGTGATTTGAGGTGCATCATTGAAAAAACAAAAATGACAAGAATAGTCACCCCGAGAAGAGGGGACAAGTAAGGATTGGGAAGAGGAAGGATGGGAAATGGTAATAGGAGGTATATGGGGATCTGATTGAGACAAACGTGCAACAATATTGGTAACAGTAGATTGTTGTTGGACTGAAGCCACCTGTGACTCTATTGTTTCTGGGATCATGTCAAAAAGGTATCTCTGCATAAATGGGACCATACATAAATCCTGATACTAAGTCGATAGTAAACGGACCCAAGCCAAATCCGCATCATGACCTAAAAGGTCCCAACAACAGAGAAACCATGTATGTAAAACTAGAGTCAAAAACAACAAACAAGCTAGTGTGGAGGATAGAGGGGAAAGGCTATCCCCAGAAAACCCCTCAGGATTTCTGTGGAGAGCCTCAGAGAGGAGGTGTAGAGGAGAAGGATACCATAAAAGAGTTGTAAGGGTAAGACACAGGTGAGAATTCATGGCATGGGTCAGACTAGCAGGTGATTCGGGAGCCGCCTCCCCAAACAGGCAATACGAAACCTAACAAATGTGGGTCAACAAAGGGACTGTCAGCACAACAGTCTGAAAGCATGAACTGATCTGTAGCCTGCAGGGGCAAGGCATGCTAAGCCCATCACTTAATTGCAAAGTAAATTGATTAGCATGAGCCTGAATATCAGGGGAGGGAGGAAAACAAAAAGGATAGGAAGATTGGTCATGTAGCGAGGAATGACATGGCTCACAAGTAATAGAAGAAAGGGATAAAATGTCACATACCTGATAAAAAAAATCCAAAAAAGACTAAGTTAGGCCTAACTGATCGTTCAGGGTGGGAATGGGAAAGTACGGTAAAATCAGGAGGCAGAAATAGATGATGCGAGTCCCCGACAGTCTGAACAGGCTCTGCCAATTTAGAAGGAACCTGGGCGAGATCTGAGGACAAAGGTTGACCCATGTAACATTCAATCTCCCAGCGGATAAATGCAGAAAAATCCACCATCGGGTTGCCCTCACCCGAGGCCTGAGAAATAACACAAGTCACTGGTGTGATCCCTAAAGTGGAATTCACTTTGGAATTCATTGTGATTAAAAGTTCACCAAATTCTAGCAGTCAAAAAGAATAATGCAACAGGAACTAACTGATAAACTTCGTTAAATTTAAGAAACAGTCATAATGAAAACTAAATAAATTAAAGAAAACCACTTCATCGGGAAAATAAAGCAGAACATGAATCTTTAAACAAACAAGAAGCACATCCGAACACATGTGTTGCCAAACTATAAGTGATAGTTCAGTAGAGGAGTATGGAGGGAGTCACATAAATCATGTGAGCATGTCATGCTTCTATTGGTGAAGAAGTGATGCATGATGATTTGCATGAGACACACATTGGAATCATTCAATTCCAATAGGGAAAGCAGAAGGCTTGTGGCATGCATAAAGAAAAAGTTTGCATATAGAGGGCAGCAGTGAGCAAAAATAGCTAATTTTCTGAATAGAGGTAAGTACCATATCAGAATCAATAATTCTATGTTTTTGCCTATTACAACATTCTATATAAAGAGATGGCTAAATAAATTTATTATATAAAAATATACATAGATAACCCAGAAGATGAGATTAATTGCAGTAATTATAGCATTTTTGTTTAAATTTTTTGTGCGACTTGTGTCTTGTTAGAGATCCTGTACAAAAAAAAAAAAAAAATACCCATAAGCAATTTAGTACATATGGAGTTGAGAAAAATGGGAGTAAAAAGGGTGAAAGGTCCACTAGTAACTTTAGGGTTAATTTTACAAAACTTTGTTTTTCTTTTTACAATTATTAATCTGCACTATTGGAAATACCATATTATCTCATACGTGAACTCATTTTCTTAGACATTTTTATTTGCAATTAACATCCAGTTGATTAATTACAGACAGTTTGTCACTCATAAATAATAAATCATTATTGTGAGAGGAAGAGAACATGACTGAACTCACCCTTCAGGTTCGTACTGATGAATCTGAAACACAGTGACCAGAGCAGTGAAAACATAGTCTTCTTGCTCCTTCATTGTGTACATCATCTAAGTTCATAAGCAAAAAATAGTTGTTAATGCACTACATACTGTAAGAATGCACTAGAAATGAAGGATGTATATTCCTTTACGAACTGTAAATTTAATTTTTGCAATTTATATAGTTAAAAAACAAAACATGTTGAAAGAGTTTTATGCAATCATACATAAATGTAAAATTTCAATATTTTTTTAAATATTGGTTGTTAGAAAAGAACCCTATAAGGGTTAGGTTAGAGTTTCTTATAATAACTTTTCTGTGTTACATTTTTTTGTATACAACTTTATGAGTGCTTTAACTAACATTTTAAAAATTGCTTATCTCTATTAATAGTCTTGATTCACATGAGTTACAAAAGAACTAACAGCCATAAGTATTGTTTGCCTACAGCAAGAAATCAACCAGCATATTCTTGTTGAAGCATTAATGAAAGTTAAACAATAACTAAATCTACAAGTACAATGAAATACAAGTACAAATATGACTGTAAATCATCAGTATTTTTATTTTATTTTCATTATCTGATTAACCAAGCTTTGAATGCCTTTCTTTCAACCATTGGGCTAAATTCAAGAACCTACTGGAATAAATATAATGTGAAGGATAAAAACCCAATTTAACTTTTAATTATAATTCATTTAATTAAACCATATATTAAGTATTAAATGAACAGTGAATTGCATAGAACATTTTCCCTAGGAATTTTTATCTACACATTTCTCTAAAATAAACATAAAATAACAAAAGTATTAAAATGAGATAGACAAATAAATTATATAGTAAATCTGGTGACAACTAAATAACACTAAAAGTTATATTTTATGGTACCAGAAAACTTTAAATACATTCTGTAAAAAACTTTAAAACATCTCAAGATTCTAATTAAAAAAAGAATTACTTTTTTGTCTCATAAATAAAATACCTGAACAGAGTATTGTCTCCCTTCTAAATAATATACAGGAGCATTGTTGAAATACTGAGAAAAGTGGTCCACATCCATTGTTGCTGACATCACAATAATCTAAAAAAATGTGGAAAAAATTATTAAGTTAATAATATACACATTTTAATCCTTGAGATAAAAACATTTTAATGAAATACAAAAAGCATCTAGTAAAACACAAACTCAGAAAACTAATGTTTCTCTTCAAAGCTTTTCTAAGCTCAGAAATCAAATGTCACTGTTTTTAATGGATTTATCATGAAATAAAAATTATACAAACATTAATCTTTTCTATTGTACTTGAAAATAATTTGCATACTTTTTTCAATAATAACAGAATCGTATTTCTAATAAGCTATACCTTAAACTATGATACATTCCTAATATTTCATATTCTGCTGAACTAATAATTTCCATGGTTCTGAAAGTATTTGTGTATTAAAAACAAAAATAATGCAAGTTGGGCTAATTAACATATTCAATAAAACATTATCTGATATAATATTTATAATCTTATAATAAACTGTAAAAAATTAGCTTAATAGAACAACGTTAAACATAATAATCTGTACACAATAGGCTATATACAGCCATGTTAAATGATGTTAGCTAACTTTACTTATGTTTAGTGTTTTAATAAATGTGTAAAATTAGTTTAGATGTACCTTTTTACATGTATCTGTAATGTGGCTTTTTGTGCTAGCCTAAAGGGTAGTGTAGGGAACTCAGGTCTTTAAGATTAGGATAATAGTTAAGCTATTATAAAGTAATACACTCAGTACTAAAAATATTAGGAAATACTACCTGGAGAACAGACCAGTCCTCACTTCATATTTATATGAAATAGGTATTTACATATTTGAGAAACAAAACCACCAGCAGTCTATAAATACAGATGCTACAGTAGGAAAGAAAAAAGATTTATGAAGCTCTGAATGAGGTTTTAATGTTGGGACTTGACTGATGGGTGTAGTCCAACTATGAGGATGATCAAGCTTACAAGTAATTCAAAGTAAATTGTGTCCTATGATTATCAGATCAGAAAACTCCACAGAGAGAGAGCTATTAAACACAGATGTAAGGCATATATTGAGGACTATTCAGGCTAACAGACATTCAATTGTGTATGAAATGATGGGTAACTTCAATAATGGTACAGGAACATCCATTTCAACCACAACAATTTGTAGGAAATTGCAGGCAACTAGCTTTGGTAAGTTGGTACCCTTAAAAAACCACCTTTCTCTACCAACAATCAAAAGAGATGTTTCCAGTGGTGCCTAGATTGTCAGGATTGAGTCACTGTCCAATAGAAATGTACAAAGTGGTTAGATGAATCACTCTTCACATTGTTTTGTAACGATAGTAGGGTAAGAGTGCGAAGACAACCCAATAAAGTCATGGACCCATCTTGCATAGTCTTCATTGCACAAGATTCTGTGGGCAGTATAACATTATGAGTCTCATTTACACGGCAATCATAGATTGGCTAGATGCACCCTGTAATACTCTACTTTTATATATATGTAGATCGTTAAAAGCTAAAAGCATCTATGAACAGTTCACTGAGCATTAGGACTTCCAAAATGTACTCTGGCCCAAACAGTCCCCTTATCTCACTCCCACCAAGAATCTATAAGATATTATAGAGAGAGCTATCAGGAAACATATACCATCAACTCTACCTGGATTAAATACCATACTGATTAACAAAGATTGAAGCAGATGCCTTTCAGACATTAGTGGATTCATCTCGATGATGTAATTAGCATGTTATTAAGTTTGAGTTTTCAATATTTTGTCCAGTAAGTGTAGGTTCTTATAAAAACCAGCTTGTTCTAGAAGGCAAGATTTCTGAACAATGTTGATGAATGAAGCATACCATCTAGATCACACAAGGATGTGGTATATGAATTTATTTAGATTAAGGTGTTACTCTTGTCAATAAGTAGGGATTTACACTGAAGATGTAGACATGTCATGAAAACAGAGATTACCACTAAATAAAGAACTGTCATAAAAGTGGGTTAAATAGGTTCAAACCTCCAAAAAAGAGGTGATGTCTTTTGGCTGAAAGTAATAAAAAAGCTAAGGAAAAAATTCACAAGCTAAAAGAAGGCATCTAGAAAATAAGAACACAGAAGAAATTGGGTATGTTTTGAAAGCTGAATCAATGACAAAGTTAATAGTGTAACGGAAAATAAGAAGCTCAGTGTGAATGTTGTTAGAGAAATTGTGGAACATATTTGGAGAAGACAAAATTGACTTGCATTTCTTATTATTGTTCTGTAATAAGCTGTTAAGAGTACCATGCATTTCTATGTAATGTGAAATCAATAAGAATACAAATGACACATAACCAAAGTTAGTAAGCAGCATCTATAATAACTGGAGGCAGAGTAACTACAAATGATTTGGTGTTTACAAATAGCAGTAAAAAAAATAAAGATCATTACATAATTACATAACAAGGAAGACAAAGACTGCAGTAGATTCAGTGCAGTTGTATTACCCACGTAATAATCATGCTAAGAATTAATAGCTTTGAAAAAAATTAGTTGAATACAACTAGACAATCTTTAAAAAAAATAAAAAACTGGCTAGATACTCATATTACTCAACACTTGTCACTTACTGACAGCTACATACTCAATTACAATATTTTCTGTTACATATGATATGTGTTCGCTCTTGATTTTCCAAAGCTGATATACACAGATATATATGTATATCATCCAAATAAATGTTTCATTATGAGTAACAACAAAAACCTGTGTAGACTTTAATGAAAAGGAGACAATTATTTAAAGTTCAGGATACAACTGTGGTAACCCACAGGGTAATGTAAGTGAATTATTCACTGATACTATCATGATGAGAGTAGAGAAAAATAATGCATCTTGTCAATTGGATTCTAAAGTAATTGAGTCATCCTGTGTGGAATTTTGACAAGAAAACAGAATTATTTTTAGATAAAACTGTGATATCCTATAGTGTAAAAATTTTTTATACATACATTTGACTTGTTTTGAATATATATTATTTTAAAACAGGTGTATTGTGTGTTCTCCGTTTATTATTAAAATTTATCACCAAAAAATTGCAGACACCTAATGTAGAAGAATCCCAGCCCATACATATACTAAAAACCCTGACACTAGGTACATGGATTATGTTTTAAAAGCTCTTCAATGTTTCATTCTATTTCAATTTTATACCTATACAATGAATTTTTAGCTATAAATACTCCTACGACATAGAAACAGCCTTCATTTTTAGACTGTACCTATATAGAATGTGTACAAATTATCATATAATAAATAGGCTCTTGTTTACCTGATTTATCATGCTATTCAATATTTTTATTGCACTATTAATTACAGTACCATCCAATATCAATTCTTCATGAAATTTAATTATATGACTCCATAAACAACATACCTTAAGAGGGTGCAACTTTTTTCTTTTTCTCTGAATTTGAGCTGACTTAATTATTCCAAACAGAACATCAGTGTGTAAAGTTCGTTCATGAGCTTCATCTAGAATTATCACATTATACCTAAAAAAAAAAGATGGTTCTTAAATTACATTGCAAAACAACTATACTATTCTCCATTTTTAGCAAGTTCCTGTTCTTTGTGTTAAATACATAAAAACTGGCTTTACTATGTGTTAAGTTATGTTCATCCACAAAACTAAAGTTCAACTAGCATAATACAAAATACAAAACACAAACATAATATTTAAAAGTATACAAAATAAAATGAAGTTTCAAAAGCAAACATTTAATTTAAATTTCTACCATTATCATTTCTTCCTTCCTTACATAATCTTACTACCTACATTTAACACATAAATCCCACTGCTTCAAGAAGCATAAATTGTAAAACTATCATTATCATACTCGCTTCCAAACCACTGAGAGTACAAACTCTAATACTAAACAAAATAATTTGGGACAGCAAAGCTATAAATGTCAAAGAGAAAGGAAAGCTAACAAATAGATTAAAATATGAAATAACTTTTGGCTAATACTAAGAAAAACAGACTAAATTCTTACAACTGGACTTAAACTTTAAGAGCATTGAAAACTTGTTTTTTTTTGTAACAGGATACTTTCCTTGTCATTGCAACAAGATCATTAGTACAAGATGAACAATATGGTAATTTAACTTTATTTTTCAGTTCCATAGGGCAAAGTTGAACAAGAGACTTCCCCCCATGCCAGGCAAATTGTCTAATGACTAAACTAAATGTTTATTCCACTAGCACTTACTAGTTACAACTCAAGTTACCATATTCTTTCCCTCTAACAAACAAGGCCTATCCTCAGGCCACATCATTTGATGTAAATAGTGATATCTTGAACTAAACAGCCTATTACTCGAGACGAATACACAGAAATGATGTAAAAACAACCTACATTTACCACATTATATTTTATTAAAATTATAGCTGGAAGTTAAATATTTAAAAACTATTTACTAAGTTGCACTAAATTAAACCAAGACAAATATCTTTCAGTAAATAATGACTCTATCAATAATATGTAAAGATTTTAGTTCTTTATGCTCAAAATCAAGTAAAATGATCTTATAATCAGATATGTGATTATCTCGAAGTGGAATCCTCTCAAATATGGCTGGGGGTAACAGGATAATAATTCTCTGGCCAAAACTGATTTTAAGCACTCTTTTTTTTTTACATTCTAAGATCCATTTCCACATATGTTCAGAAAGAACTATACATTCTTTATATCTTCCTCAAACTTTTCCAATCACCTTTTACTCCCTTCAAAATTTTTTCAACTGATTTGTCAATGACTGTAAGCAATAATTCTCAGCATTCAACAACAATAATCATTTCAGTCACTCTTTCCAGAAATTGTGTTATTCTTAGGAGATGCATGATTGTCTGTATTAGATGACACTGTACATATCAATGTAACTGACGTGCTTTGTCATTGTGTTGTCTTGTTGTATTTTGTGTATGCAGTTTTTGTCATTTTTGAATAGGAAAACTTGGTATTTGAAATTTTTAAGGGGGATATTATTTATGTCCATAGAATGTTTAATCCACAATTTTATGTTCCTGATCTTTTTTTAAGATGTGCACATTTTTACAATGCCAAAATACAGAAATCCACAGTTTGTAAAAATAAAAAAACGTTTATACTTCAATAACTATAATCAGTTTATATTGCTTACAAATAATGTTAAGTAGGTATTTTTCCAAGGCAGAATATTCTTCTTATTCTAAGTATGTAGATGCTTTCTTTTCAACGTTTTGAAAATGGAAAACACAAGAAGTGAAATTTACCTTTTCAACAGAGGATCAGATATAGACTCCCTCAACAACATTCCATCAGTTTGGTACTGGAAAAAGAAAATCCCATTACCTTTAAAAAATGTTTACCCAAGTCCAAAAATATACATGAACTGTGATATACATATAAGTTCAATCTGACAAAAACTCGTTTTTCTAGCCTACCAATTTCATTTCAAAACCTAGAAACACTTTTTCTTCTTCTTCTTATTATTATTATTATGGTACACATTTTTCAGTCAAATGTTTATAAATGAATCAAAATATTTATAAATTGTAATTGAAAAATATTAATTTAAATTGGTTATCAAACTTCTGCATATCATGGTATAAGAGTAGGAAAACCTCTATATTAAAGTTGGATAGTCAAGTGAGAATATTTTACTGAAAAAAAAACTGAATTTCTTCAACAGTTTTATTGCTAAGCACAAAGCTACACAATGGGTTATCTGTGCTGTACCCACCATGAGTATTAAAACCCAGTTTTTAGAATTATAAACCTTCAGACTTACCACTGAGCCACTGGGAAGGGGGGTGAGCTGCTTTCCATTTACCAATGTGAGTTATCCTTATTAGTATACGTTTTATGTATGTTTTAGGCAAACAAGTTTTTTTGGGAAAAGATTTTATCTATTGTAGAGTGCTTTAATTGGATTTCTTAAGAATATCAATTTAATATATGGTCAATGAACCTAAAATATACAAAATATTAGCTCTTTTCATATTACCCATGTTTTATGATATTGTAATTTCTAACTGCCTAAGAATTTTACATACATAATGGGAATACAGTGTAGTAAAAAGATTTTGACCATAATGATTCAACACCACAAGGGATTTTGAGAGACCTTAACTGACTATGAGGTCACCTGTCTTTGATAGGTGAAAACTGGCTGAAGCCAAATGGATATGAAAAGTTAGTTGTCTGTGGGGACAAGAAACTTTTTTAAAAAGCACTATAAAGAGAATGATCATAGTTTCAAAATGATGGCAACAAACTGTCAAGTTTGACATTTATAGGTTTTCAAGAGCCTAGCTGCTATTCAGAGAGCATGTGCAATGACATACCAAGAACCATGTTCATTAGTTAGTGTTAGAAGAAGATTCTCATTTTATGATTGTGTGTCTGCACCCTGTTTTTTTTCTTTTGAACCCATCATGGATCAGTGGTTAAAAATGTTATATTTATTATTAGTTGTAGCATGAATTCTGAAGTTCTTTTCACTTTGTTATAACAAGGTCATTTTGAAATGAGAAAAATATTGTTTTGAAATAAATATTATGGTAAGTGATACTGGTTTTCCATTTATCCTAGTGTTATGAAATTTCCTTTTAAAATAAATTTATTTAAATAAAAAAGTGAGTCAATTTAAAGAAAAATATTAAGTAAAATGTAAATAATAGTAAAGGTGGTACGCAGATATGGCAAACATCGTGAATGTGATATGCGAATGACTGAAGTTTGGGAAGCACTGGACTAGGTTACCAATACAGAAGCCATATTGACTGATAAATCTAATGCAATTTCTAATTTATTTTTGGTAAAAGATGTATGTACACATATACAGAATGAAAAGTTTATTAATTTATATTTTAGGTGAATGAAAGATTGTTATCGTGTTTGTAGTGGTATCTAATATCAAACATACGTATCATAATGTTTGTCTAATGTGGTACAAGAGCTAAAGATTGTTGTTGTGTTTGTAGTTGTATCTAATATCAAACATATTTATCATAATGTTTGTCTAATGTGGTACAAGAGCTAAAGATCGTTGTTGTGTTTGTAGTTGTATCTAATATCAAACATACGTATCATAATGTTTGTCTAATGTGGTAAAAGAGCTAAAAATTGTTGTCGTGTTTGTAGCTCTATCTGATATGAAACATACAAAGCATAATGTTTGTCTACTGCAATGAGGGCTGGTGATTGTTATTGTGTTTCTAGCTGTATGTGATATCAAATATATAATCATGTTTTTTTTTAATGTCGTGTAACTGAAGATTGTAACTGTGTTTATAGCTATATCTAATATGAAACATATAAAGCACAATGTTTGTCTAATCTGGTACAGGAAGTAACTATAACTTGCAAATAACCAAACAAATATTAACTTTTTATGTGGATATGGACAAAATTTTTGTTTTTAGAGAAGAAACATATGCACTGTTAAAGATCGTCTGGGTCAGAATAAACAATACCATTTTAAATATAACATAAAGTAGATAAACAATGCTAAATATTCAGATAAACACCTAACAGTTCTGCCAGAATGAACTTTAATAATCACTCTAAATATCCATTCTTTAAATTTACAATAAAAACTTAAGTGTACATGCAAACTCATTTAAAAGTTATACACATGGTTAATTCTTACCTTGATCTTTGTTTTTTCTGAAGTCATGTCATCAAATCGAACTGAATAACCAACCTGCAGAACATCATGCCATAAATAATACACAAAATACTTCTGATTTCACTTTTACTTGACTAAAGAGAAAGAATATACTGTGTGTTTGATCTTTAAAAAACAGCACTTCAGCTTGATATTACACTTGGCATTTTCAACACAGTGTTATCAATATGCACACAAGAATGCAACAACTGTTGGAAATATAAATATGCCATACCAAATCTCAGCTAAAAATAGTTTTCTCAGATGTAATATAAAAGCTGATAATTACAAACCACAAAGCATGACAACATGCAAAGTATGCAAGAATGAAAGTTCTGTGGAGCATATACATTTCATTCAAGTAATTTAAACTGAAAATACTGCTTTTATGAACCATGACAGTATAAATGTACTTGGTAATTATATTCCGTATTGGATGAAACATAGATATCAAATACAAAAAAACTCAACAATCAAAACTGATTTGAAAATACTGTTTTTGTAAATGATTTTATATATATATAAATGATAATCATATTTCCTATCATACAGTAAAACCATTTGCAAAAAAACTGCAACAGTTGAAAATCTCGAGTATAATACACAAGTAAAATATACCAATAAAATTTTAACTGAACATTCTTTATCATTTAATCTTAGGAAAAATCAGCAAGATGAAAAAATTCAACATGACAGCTTAGTCTTGACTTTAACTCTACTCCATTTTGACATATTTTAGAAACATGCAGATAAGTATCATTGTGCAGTTAAAAATTGGTCAATACATGTCCATAACTACACTTTTTTTAGTGAAGTCCTGTGAAAGAACAACTGACCTAAACTGAAACCTCAGACCACCTAATTTCTAGTGTGTTTTGTTTTTCACTAAAAGTACAAAATAAACAGTAAGCTCTAATACTAGTGGATATCAGAAACAAATTTGGAAACTATGGGTTATGTACTCAACTAGGTAAATAAGGGGGAGATAAAAATTTCATCATGCCTTTGTAATATGTACAAAACAAATTTAATTTGCAAATATTTCAAACATATAAGAATTTCAGCTATTTACAATAATAATTTATGAAGGAGAATTGAAACAGAATGATGCATTAAAAAATGTCAGTCAATACAAGAATAACATTTTTAATAAAAGTTACTAGATAATTCTTGCAGGATACCATCAAATGGAGGTGAAGGTTAAATACTGGTCTGCTAATTACACACAAGTTTATACCTTCAAATAAATGTTACATGTTTACTCTTAGCTGAGGAAAGGTAATACTTGAGAATGTTTTCCACTAGTTACCATTGTGATAATCCCATTTTGGCATCCTCCATATGCAGGATCAAATTTAATGCCTTTCCCACACAAAGCTAGTGCTCTACTAGCTAACCAAAAATCGATGTTTAACTGTGTTTTTTTAATATTCATTTTTAAATTAAGAAATTGAATAATGTATAGTTCTAAAATTGGAATTATAATCTACAGTTTGATACCAAACTTATTGACATAAATGCATGAAATAGTAGTTCAATAAAATTTTGAATGCGAGTCAACGAACAAGATGACATGACCTTTGACCTGTGTGGAAAGAGCTAATGTCTAACCTAGATATCAATTTTAATTTTCATATTAACTAATGTTCAACTTATCTTTTCAATTTTTTTAACATTTTGTACAGTAATTTTTTGAATATATGTTACATATATGAAATGTTATATAGTTGATTAAAGATATTATATTTCAATACCTAAAAAATACCTTTGTATTTCTCATTGCCCATTAATTTTCTTAACTCATAATATTCTTGAATGGCAGAAAAAATATGTCATTTTTAAAACTTTCACAAAAACACCTGAGTAAATACTAAAAAATATGTATCTATTAAAGATTTGTTCAAATACCTCTTCTATATTATCAGAAAGGACTGACCTTTGTTTAGACCCTTGTTACCAGTTGTAGGAGAAACATTAATGCACATAAGATATGCAAGACTGCATTATATAACAGTGTCAGAAACTATCACTATACATATATAGTCCATATTTTTCTTTAGTTAATCAAATATTTTCATAGATTGAAATACGCTAAAACAAAACAAGTAATTCCAATTTTACCATATTCTAACATATAATGCAAACTTTAAATGTTAAAATTACAGGACTTTAAATATAGTTTATCATTACTCTATTTTCACAGGCCTCTACATCATCTTTGTTCAAGAAAAGAAATCCACAAATAAATAAACCAGTTAGTCTGCTGAACAATAATGAATAATTAATCGTGACAGTACATGTTATACAAGCACCTAAAGTATTTTAGATTAACATGGGTGAGAAAAGGATTATACATCAAAACCAAATGCAAGTTAAAAAAAATATTAAATATAAAAAACTTATTTCTGTTATCATTATCCTTATCTTGTGTTTGCTGTGGTTTCAACATCTTGAGAAACATTTTCATATTCTATATTTAATATATGTAAGAACTTACCAAATCACCAAGATCTATTCCCATTTCTAGAGACACACGCTCTGCTATTGTTATAGCAGCTACCCTACGAGGCTATATTGTAGGAAAAAAAATGGTAAACAGAAAGTTACTTGAACAAGCATTCCGCCAATTGAAACTCACAACATTATATAAAGTTATGCACATAAATGTATCTGATTTTATGCATACTCTATACAACAATTAACAATTCTAAGATTGAATTATGCCCAAAGTTTACCAACATGCAAAATAACTGTACATAAGAACTTATTAATAATTTCAGAAATATGAAATAAGTAGACACACCATTTAACAACTGAAAAAAAATTGTTCTACAATTTTAGTCTCAATTTTCATACAAATATGTTTAGACATATCACAAGTAACAAAATTATATAATACTAATACCACAATGAATTTCTCCAAACTACACAATTAGATTATTTGTATGTGATATGCCTTACCTGTGTGATACCAATCACTCCATTACTGTGAACACCTGCTGAGTATAAAAACTGAAAAACAAAAACATAATATATGCACACAACTATTAAATGCAAACCAAAAGGAGCCTACACATCACCGCTCAAGATGTAATGTATGCAGCTATATATTTATGTAAACACTATAAAGAAACTAACTAAATTGAGCAATTTCTTATTTAGCAAAAAAAAAAAAAGTTTAATTTTCCTTAAGCACACTCTTGAAGAAAACCTAGTGATCTTGCTAACAATTCCGTAAATGATATTTGAACTCTAAGTTACTGCTTTGGATCAAACAGTGCAACCTTCAAGCAGTATCTAATAGCAGACTAAATATGTGGTTACACATGCAAATTCTTCTCAACAGAACATTATATAATACACATATAAAGAACTGGTATATGCACTGTGTTTAAAAATATTTTGTGTTTCAACAAATGTACAATACACTAAGATTACAAACTGTCATTTGGCATCTCAAGATTACCCCAAAAACAAAGACACACACACAAATGTAACTTAAATGTAGCTCTTCACAACCTATAAAACAAACTTTTAAAAGAATTAAAGCTAATCATTCCCACCACATCATCAGTTATATCATTCCAAAGTTTATATACCTATGTATCATTTACCTGTATCTTTCTATTAAATAATGCCAGACACACAGTCAATAGAAACAGAAAAATTTAAGTAAATAAAATGTAAGAGCCCATGACGACTGTCAAAAATCATAAAACTGTTCAAGTTTTACAGAATAATCTTCATATATGAGCCCCTATAAAACTACAGGTGTATGGCATTAAAATTCTATGTGTACAATGAACCAAATCTAAAAGACTGAACTATTTGGCATAACAAAAAAGTTAATCATATTAAATGCAATACACATTATTTCTTTTGTTGAATACACAAATCAGCATTTACATGTATCATGTTTTTGGTTAATTTTGTAGGGCTAATTCGTAGGTATTCTGATTAAAATGTTTATATTTGAAACCAAGCATACATTTACCATTAACAAGGTCTGAAACCAAGCTGTTAAAAAATATCCTTACATATAAAAGGCTTTATGTTTGCAACATACATTCAAATGGCAAAAATACAATCAAAAGCATGTGTACATTTGTTTGTCTATATCTGTATTTCAATCTGAATATGCTATTGCTCTGATCATTAATATTCATTTACTAGCACAACATATGAGATCAACCTTACCTGAGGTACCTGTGTAGTCTTTCCACAAGCTGTTTCACCAATGAGAATGATGGAATGATTTTTCCAGGCTTCTCTTACAAGTTCTTGTTGAACAGGAAAAATAGGAAGAGACCTGCGTTGTGACAAAAGCTCCATTTTTTCCACTTTACTTTTGCTGTCTGAGGAGCTCATTTTCTGCAAATGTGAAGGCCGCTTTATATAACCTGTGTTATTAAAAGTTCTGTTCTTTTCAGGCTTTTTGTCAGCAACACATTCTGTTTTCTTTGAAATGTTACTCGTACACCCATTTTGAAAAGACCTTTGCTCTATTTTGGCTGCAATTTTATTGCTACTCTCAATTTTTTTAAGGGATGCATGCACATTCTCTGACTTGTCTTCCGCATTAACAGTATCCACAACTGAACTATCAAGCAATATATATTTTTTGTGCTTCCTTGCATTCTTGTTTAGTTTCTTCTGTTTCATTTCTATATTCCTGTTTCTTGAGGTGCTTTTTTTCTGATGTTTATCACTTTTATAAATCCCTTTTTTAAATAAGATGCCTTTACCTTTAATAGAGTTCTTTTTTTTCTTCCCCTGGAAAAAACCACATTGTGGAAAAACTGAAGTGTTTTTGCTTTTTGCTAACTTCAATTTTTTTTCAGGTTGAGAACCATAGCCATGATCATCTTTCAATGATCTTTTCTTAAATTTATCCCAAGCTTTAGATGGAATTATAGACAAATGTTTTCCAAAATCAGCTGGTATCAAAAGCTGTTTCTCGGTCACAGAGTCATTAAGTAAAGATACACGTGAATTGCCAATTTTGTTTTTCTTCTTCTGCAATGCTTTACTTTTTTTATTGAAAATTTTGACATGGTTTCCATTAAACTTCATGTTTGTATAGTGTTATCATATACTGAATAATCTTGTAGTCCAGAAAGAGTAGTTTATTATATACAATATCATTATTAATAAGTCATGATAAAAGCTTTCAATACAAGGCTAAGAATAATA